CAAACCTACCAAGTCTCACAGATCACCTGGCCAAGGGATTCTAAAGTTTGACGTCTTCGCAAAAAAGTAGGGTCGGCGGCACCCGGGCGCTAGCCCATTCTATTTGTGATACACTGGATTCTTTCATGAAACTATAGGAGATGAGATCATCAATTCTTTGTGCCACTTAGCTACGCATCATTGTGGTCATCTCGCTCGCCCCTGGCTGCGAGATCCCCCAACTTGTTGTACTCGGTGTCCAAGGTTTGGAGATCGGCATTGAGCTGCAGAATTGCCCTGGGGCGCATCACTATTTGCAACTCAATTTCAGAGGCAAGGAAGGGGACAGGGGAATCACTGTTGAATGGCACCCCCACTCATTGAGCCCAGAAACTTTTTGGCAGTGGGACACTCCCCATAGTTCTTCTGCAAGTCTGCGGACAAAGATCGCAGTTTGGCACATTTTGCCAACACAGACTCAACGTGCTTGCTGAACACATCCTTGGATCTTGTTGCCTGCCAAGAGAGTTCACCACACAAATACATGCAATGCACATATGAAGAGAAGCCACACAAACTAAGTGAGAAAGGGAAAGGATAAGGTCCCAAGGCCAACTGGGCAATTAAATTAAAACTTGAACATGAGACGGGTCTGGAAATCACCATGCATGAGTAACATGTCAGCCCATGCACATAATTACCACTGCCTGGCATGCTGCGGCAGCGGTAGCAGAACTCAAAGCTGTTTGACGCTTTTTGTCAGCATCCACCCGGGCAAGGGAAACATCTCCAAGCGTAGCTGGTCCATCATCCTGGCAGGTCGCTGGGACGAGATGTGGACAGTGACTTCAAAATGAGCTGGTTCTATACATTTGAAGGATGAAGCTTGGCACAAACTCTTGGTTTTGGATTCATGGGGTCCTGGGTCACCTCGACCTCTTGTTCAGCCTTAGCCGATTCTTGTCCATTGTTCCCACTCTCCCGTGTGTTGACGTGATACTCGTCTTCACCACCATACTGGCATTTCCTGCAGAAGCAAACAAAGTGTAATATGATCAGGCCTTGCGCTTACTGTAATATTTCTTTTGCACGGGCATGCATGAAAATAGTTGACATGTTACAGAAACGATTAAGATCAAACACCTCCACATGAACTCTGATTGTTCGAGTTAACAATTTAGTTTCCTCAATGATTGACCATGGTTGGCCAATTTGCACAACACCACATGACAAATATATGAGTGTGCAGCTATGTTTGACTTCATGTGTGGCATGCCTCACCAGGTGAAGAGGGTCAGCCTCGCACACCTTAATGGCTCCATTGATCTTCTTCCTTAGGGCTTTTGCAGGGAAGTCCCACAGGAAAACTAATTGGGAAAACATAGTCAAAAAATGTGCGATTTCAACCATCCATCCATGTCAATGACGTTTGTTTCAAATTTGAAGGGGTGCATGTGTGGAACAGTTGGTTTGATTTGTTTTCATGCATTAAAGTGTCGCTGGCCACTTCAAGACCTTGACCATGTCATCCTTGGTATACCAGCCATTTGCGATGTCATTTGTCTGCTTCTCTGTCTTGGTCACCGTCTTCTGCTTGTACTTGACAAAGCGGTCCTGTGAGGACATGGAATGTGGAGCAGCACACATTCACGCTGGCAATGGCTGGGCAATGGAAACTGAAAGGTGGACTGATCTATGGAGGTTGACACTTGGAACAAATGACAAACAAGGGTGGTGGGATGGTCTCCTTCGAAAAGTTGCATGACTCAAATTCGCGGGCCATTTTCATGTGATCACCGTTCTTCCATTGGTCATGCAGCCACTGCGGGACCTGGAGCTTACCCCCTTTCTTCACCTCGCAAAGCCGTCTCAATTTGGCTTTGAGAGCATTCTCTTCCTTGGTGGGTTGAACATGACCGGGGCCCCCAGATGGTTGACAACATTCTTGTACCAACACAAACATCAATCATGTTTTGGGGTGAAAACTTAAGGTAATTACAAACAATGATGGTAGTAGATCAATCAGTGTTTGATTTAAACATGTGCATATATACCAAACTATCCCAAAATACGTCCCAAAAACATTTGAAATGAGTTTAGGTTCTTTTTTGACTTTTGTGGCCTGATCCAAAAGCTCATCCACTGAAGGGCAATCAGCATCAGCATCAGCATCGGACATCTTCACCAGTCTTAGCTGCTTTGCTACCATCATGACTTGCGTTGCCATCTAATGGCCTCTTTTTGGAACAACCACGTCCCCCATCCTTGGAAAGTGCACCTCCTAGGAGCTGCATGGCAAGACCCGATTCGATCTCACCTTCCTGGAACATTTTGACGATGCGAGCTGTCACCTTGGCAGATGCTCGGGCGCAGGAGTGGCATGGGAAAGAGGGAGCCAGGGAACCCCAATCAATGAGAAACATATTGATTGATGATATATATTTGTTGTTGCTGACATTCAACCATGTTAGCAAAGCTCATTAGTAGGAACACTTCAGTATACATAAAATGTTTGTTGTGTCGGTTGTATTGTCTTTGGAAACTGCGCAAAGCTTGAACTAAACAGTCAGGTGTTAGGAACAAGATGCTCTAGGTGATGATGTTTTTCCTACCACGTCACACCTGTGTGCATGTGTTTACTGCATGAAAAATTGTCAAGAAAGAAGGCACACATCTCTTTCAGTGTGCAGAAGCACTACGACACATTACGACACCAAACAACTATATAAACAATTTCAACAATAACTAAGCTTAATCAAAGGACATCATCTGAACCCTTCGAAACAGAAGTCAACTCAGAAGTCGAAGGGGACGTTGGCGATGACTCACCCTTTGACGCTGTGGGAGTTCCAAGGGATGCTGCCACCTGGGACTCTGTTGCTGGTAGGGTCTCCGCCATGTCAATGTCCAAGGGCAATCCATTCTGTGGAGTAGCCTCAGATATCCCAAAATTCAGGATGAAGATTCTCAAACAAGACCGGGTATGTCAACCGAACCCAGGCTCCAGTACATGGTAAATCATGGAAAAAAGACGTAATGGACCACAGTCTTTGCGATTTCAAAAGTTTCTCAGAAACTAACAACGGTCAAGAAATAGCAGAGCTCATGGTCACCATTGCAAACCTTTTGCAATCCAAAATTCTTTTGATTTTAGATTCTAGTGCTACTGTAAGTGGCATATATATACTAACCCTGCAATGGCCTTAAAGAGCCGGGAAACCTGACTTTGCAGCAATCGTTCCAAGGACTCAGCCTCAGGCGAACAGACACGTCACTTGTCGAAGAATTGGGGTGGCACTGGAAACAAAAGTAACCGGGGTTTGGTGAACTAAATTGCTTTATGTTCCTTAGTTGTGTGACTGGTTTCAGATCACAATGTGAGTATAGTTTGTTCCCAAGCACTGAGAAAATGGTTCAAACATACCGTTATCCCAAGTCACCCAAACAGGGCCCCGGCAGTACTGGACTGAGCATCCAGATCAGCCAGCTGTCGTTCAAGCTCCTGAAGGACAATGGGGTATAGGCCTAAGAACTGAGCAATAAGATTTCACCAGCTATCCACAAAAAATAGGCTTTATAGTTCGAACATGCTGAAAGCTACAAAACGTTGATTTAGATCCCTATGCTCCTTCAAGTCATCAAGATTATCAGGAAGCTTGGCATCAGCATCAAGCAAGATATGGGACAATCCACGGCCAAGATCCCCAGTTGACTGAGTACGGGATGCCATCGTGCGGCAGGTATCAGCACGGGAAATCATACCCAGGTGCTTTCAAAGGAAACTGTGAACCCAAAAAAGCTATCACAAATCCGGTTGGTTTGACTATATCAATTGATGCAAGTCCTCATGACACTGCTCCTCAGCTGAGAAAAGTAATCTGCAAGTAAATATTTTTTTTGGCTGCAACTCCCAAATAATATCAATTGTGCCGACGCAGCAGAGCTGTAATGGCGTCGAATTTCTAAAGCATTGGGTATGCACAGCATTCACCAAAGTTTGTTGCAAATGCCGGTCCCGACAGATCAATATTTCCGAAAACTCATTCGGGCGAAACAAAAACCAACAAAAATCAAGATAAATCCTATCTTTAAACCCATGAAAAATAGATATCTATTATGCAAAAATACCCATAATCAATTATGGGTAAATTACGGGATTTTATGGGTATTTTACGGGTCCGTTACGGGTATGGAAAATTATGGGTAAATTACGGGTTGAAATTATGGGTATTTTTTGTTTTGATTATGGGTTGATTATGTATTGGTTATGGGTCACCAGAAAATAGATAGGTTTTTTCCGCAAATTATGGGTATATTACGGCTAAAATTGTGTTTGGTTACGGGTTTGTTACGGACAATTACGATAGATTACGCATTACGGGGTATTATGGGTAAAAATCTCCAAAATTCTATCTTGAGCGTTGTTTTTTCGATTTCGTTCACACTGAATTTGATATTTATTGTTTCGGGACCGATCGGCAACAAAGGACTGCTGTCAAAAGGATCCCCAACCACCTAGAGTTTATGGGGTAGGTGATTTCGAAATTCTTCGGGTACCTTTAGATCTTTGCCAGCCCGAAGATAGTGGCATACCTGGGTCATGTGAGCCTCATGCCACAAATCATCCCAATTCATACTGCTAAAGGTTGAGCACGCAGGAGGAAACCATGTTGGGTTCGCTGGCATGCCCGATGAACTTCCAATCAACCGGTCGAACAACTCAACCATTTTGAGTCCGAACTTGCTCGGATAGTGCCTGAGGCCGGAATGGAAACTATGGCAAAATATTGCTGCATGGCTTCAAGTCTGCATTTGAACAGTCGAAAAGATTTGAAACATACGTTTGGGCCACTTTTGGGCAAATTTGTTTAGGCAAGTATCGGATTCATAGTGGGTAGGGTTATCCATAATGATCCCCACGCATTCACTATAAAATATATGTTTGGTGGCTGGGATTGGAAGGACACGGTGCATTTCTTCACAGAAATCGCATTCTGAAAAAAATGAAACAACTGAGCCAACTACTCACTTGAACGCAGACTCTTCGTACCTTTCCATCTCTTCTTCCCATTGGAGTCTTGGTAATGCGTAACCAGTTGTTTGTGCTGGCCTTTTTTCTGGAGGCTGTCTTTCAATTCCTTCCATTTTTTGATACTGAAACTTCCAAGGTTCAGGTGGCCAATTTCACTGCTGTTCGACATTGCGTAGTGTCGCTTTGGTGTTTCGCCGCCATAGTGCAGCATGTGCCAAGAAACTTTGCTCACCTGAAGTGGCCGTGGATGTGAAGTTCATATATACCAGTGAACCAAGTACACTATATGCAATAGTGTATAACAGAAAGCAAGAACATATAATTATAATGAAAGCAACTGGACATTAGTTTACACTGTTAGAAACCGAATATATATATCCCCAAGAGTTGGCAACCTTAACATATATAACATTGCAAATCAATAAGGTTACATTATTGAAAATATACGTACAACTTTGCTACCAGAGAAGGAACCTTTGAGTTGTATAAATTCATCAGCATGGTTCTTTGAAACCAAGAGAAAACCATTTGACAAGGTCATCTGCGTAAAACAATCGCCGTTGCTAACTTGCTAACTTAGGCTGCAGAATGCTTCAACCTCCGACTACTTGGGCAACTTGGATTTACATGGATTGATTAGTTGATGCTGCTGGTCAAGTGGCTTTCCCAGCTTGCCTCTCGATCAGCATGACCAGTTCCCTGAAACGTGGGTAAAATTCGAAGAAGCTACTGTAAGGCTGCTCCACCACCACGCATGCATTGAGACAAATTGCAACCATCATGAGAAGTATCATCCTCGGAAATGCAAAGTTCCAGACCCCCAGAACCCTCTTAGGCATGTGTGTTATAGAAGGATCTGGCACATGTACAACAACAAACAAACATGTTTTTTCTCCTGAATACAGGTAAAGTTCCGACTTGCAAGGCAATTGCCTTCACGAACACTTTGAAATTCAGTGTTTCCCACTGAAGAACATGCAGAGCGTGAAGACGTTCCAGCATTGACACTGGTCCATGGCGAGCACTTGAGTGCAAAGTGGGCCAACCACCCCATCTCCTGATCTCCACGTAGCATCACCGCAAGAGCAGTCCTGAGCAAACGGCATGACAGGCAAGAGGCAAGATCACTCATGAAAAACAACAAGACATGTTATATAGGCTACATTGTCATGCAATACAACACTTCAAACTTCTGATCCAGATGCTTATACTTGAAAGAGGAAGTGAAACAAACTAGCAGGTCAGGCTAGATTCGCAAACCCAGAGGGGGTGCATAAATCCATGGGATTTTGACCATCTTTCACAGGTGACATGTAGAGAAGGTCCATTCGAGCAGACCGCATGTCAGCACAACGGAACATTCGGGTCGTCTCCGCACGACCTGCAAAGGTCTCCACAAAGGCGAAGGTGGAGTGATCCTGCAAGTCAAGTAAATCTTTAGCAACTAAGCACTGTAGATTGAGGACAGTTGAGATGTCCACACTTGTTGAACTTGATTCAAATTCTAACAATGTTTTTTGCAGATGGAATCAACCCAAGATTCTCCTGCCAACTCTTCGAATCGATCTCGGTCCAAATAACCAAGAGTACAGCAAATACCAGCACCTCAGAGTAGTCAAGAAATCACAGTGCTCAAACTAACATCCAATCTCCGTACTATAAAGCCATGCGCATGCACCTGAATATTCACAGTCTCAGACATGGTCACGGCATTAGTTCGATAATATCAAGTCACGTGGTTTGTTCAGATTTCGGATTGAAACTTGGAAACATTTGCTGGCATGACACTTTTGGAGCAACAAAAGCATTGAGTCGATAGGTCAGCTTGTCCACAAAATCATGAGGCCACGGCATGGCTTGAAAAAGCCGACAGGTGATTTCAAAAAAAAGTCAAAGCCACAAGGCAACACATATCACATAACATTAATATATAGTGACAGTAAATTGAGAGCAGAATTTGACGAGTTTGAAGCTCAAGTAGACTGATTTGTCAAATTGAAAGTTCCTATATGCAGACTCTTTTCCAACAAGTTCATGAAGCCACATGATATCTCACTTGTCCATGCTGTGAACCTGAGGCATTGAACTACGTATCTCGAGCGGGCTTGGTTGAATTGAGACTGCATCATGACTGCATTGATCTTGGAATTCCAAGTCGAACCTGAACCAGTTGGACAGAATATTGACAATCAATCTTTCAATTTTGGTATGTCCGATTGGTGTGTTCAAGAATCATGTTACCAGAAGATGTCGGACCCAACATGTTTTATGCACACAGATCTGCAAAGCCACTGCATGTCATGTGTGCTGTGTATGCATGCCATCATCAAGATACAATTATCAAGCTGGAATCCCACTTAATCACCAAAAAAAATAGGCCGAGGCTAATGGGGCAACCAACCTGTTGAAACATGCCTGGCGTACGAGAGTCGTCTTTAACCAGGCCCAATTTCACAGCCCATTTGCACCCCTTCAGAGGCATCCACAGCAATCTGCGGCCAATGTCGAGCCTTGGCACGTGAGCTGGAACCCCGTCATGAAACAGGGAGGTGGCAGACAAACTAAAAACCAAGAGAGGAAGCTGAAACAATCCATTCTTGGGTGGCATTTCACAGTTGATAAAGATAAGGCTGAAGAGCAGGGAAAGGTTGCTAGACTCCAGAAACACCGAAACACTTGAGGTCAAAATGTGGGTTCATCCAAGGCTTATACACAAGCATTTTTTGGTATTGGGCGTCGAAAAGGTATCTCAACCATTGCAGTGATGGGCACTTGTGCAGTATATTTTTTCCAACTCCGCCGTTGCAAAGGGTTTTGAGGTTTTCCCCAAAAGAACTGGGCATGCCACCTTCGGATTGACCCCACGCACCATGGATCTAGACCTAGAAATTTTCGTACAGGTCACATGGCTGATAAATGAAATGTTTGTTGAACCACCAGATATTGTTATAGGCATATACTCAAGTATAAAGATCTGAAGTGTAAACACATTAGAAACATCACATTGTAGGATCCTGATATTTTTTATTTGATGAATATTCATCGGAACTTAACAGTTGAAGCTAGATAGAAAACATATGCACGCAACATCCCACTCCAATGGTGCTGTTTCTTACAGATCGATATTTAAAAGCAGCCATGTGGTCCCTGTACTCCCACTGCTTCCGAAGCTAAGGCATTGCACCAGGGCAAAACGGATTGGCATCATTCTACGCTGAGACTGATGCTGGGTTGCACTTTCTCACATCTCTGGATGTGATGCCATGAAGCTGCACCCCAAACGAGGCTAGATCTTTGGAACAAAAATAAGTCACATGTTGAAAGAACATTGTTTTTGAGAAAAATGTATTGTTGAAAATTTATGAAAAATTGTTTAGAGCAGAAATTGATGGAAATTGTTTGCCACAGCATGGCATGCAGACCCATGTTCACCAGCCTAGCATCACTTACTTTTTGGGAGCTGGGAATTTCGTAGCAGCTACACTGGCATTGTACTTGATAAATGCCTCATGCCTCTTGACATCACTGGTGGGGTCAGCATAGTTCGAAACGTCCTCCGTCTTCAAGTCATCCATCCACTGAGCCTGGGATGGAAGATGCGGGATGTATCTAATTGTGAATAGTTATGCACATATTATAGTATATGGATGGGGAAATAACACGACATAGCTCAAATTCTTATTCATAAAAAACTTTAGTCATGTCAACAAACATGCAGCTGGACCTTGCTGATCCCTGGGATTTGAAGACTAAGACCTGAAGAGGTTTGAAATGAGAACGCGCATCCTGTAATCACCAGCCAAGCAGCCATCAGCCAAGCTGAAAGATAGGTGAGGGTCATGTTGACATTCCACGTCGAAGCGGTGCCAAAGCTGGCAAAATAGGACACAAGCGGCATGGATCTCTTGTTGTTCCCCCCCAGCTCCTTCGACTTCACACCACATGCCGTCCTTCCCCAATAAGCATCAAGGAGGAATTTGTTGCAATCCTTGGGCGCATGCGTCACGAGGTACTCCTTGAGAGAATCATAGGTCAAGCTGCCAATCGCTTTCAAATGCTGACAGAAAATGCCTTGAAGCTGGGCATCCTCCTTGAGCTGCTCATGCATCACATCATCCATCGCCTGTTTGCGCTTTTTGGCAAGCTTTTTTGCCATAGGGCTCATAGCCGCCTTCCTGCCTCGGCCTTTGCCTTTTGGCTTCACAGCAGGAGCTGGTGGTGGAGCTGCGGCAGAGGAAGCAGATGGCCCATCATTGGACGCCCTTGACCTTCTCCACTGTTCTGGTGCATCCTCCTCAAAGATGCTGCTCAAAGGCTTCACCTTCCCACTTTTCTTGTCAACTCGTTCATGTGCACTCTCCTCATCAGATGATTCTTCATCTGACTGGAAGAGCTCTTTTCGGGGCGTCTTGGCATCGATCTCATCCTTGTTTGACTCCTCAGCCTCAGCCTCAGCTGCCTTCGATGTTTTCTTGGGGCCGGACTTGGCCTTCGGTGCTCTCTTGGGGGCCGACTTGGCCTTTCTCTTCGGTGCCACTTTGGCCATGGGCTTCTTCTCCTCCTCAGCAGGATCAGCACGTTTTGCTCTGGGAGCACGCTTTGGTCTGCTAGTGGGCTTGGTCTCGGTCTCGGCCTCAATCTCGAAGTTCTCCTGGTTCTCCTCGGCATTCTCAACTTCTTCCTCTTTGCCCTCATCTTTGGGCTGAGTCCTCCGCCTTCCTTTCGCTTTGGGCTCAGCACGGCCTGCATCAGATGGCTCAGCAGGCGTTCGCTTTCTGCCACGAGCTCGTTTCTCTGGTTTCTCTGCTTCGTCACCTGGATCTTCCTTACTTTTCTTTTCCTCCTTCTTCGCATCCTTCGCTTTCTTCTTTTCATCAGCCTTTGCCTGCTTCATCTTCAATTGGTCTCGGCGGGTGAGAACAGGTACCTGACAAATAGAAGCACTCTGGATGGCCAATGGGCAGTTTGAATGTCAGCTCATGTGATGTGTGAGGACCACACTCTGTCCAACCGAAACTCAGCTATAGATTGTTTCTTCTTTGTTTACCAAGAGTGGCATGGATGCTTGTGCACAACCCCAAAAAAAGTATCACCACACAGTCCGTTTCACATGCTGGAATCCACGACAAATATAAAATATGCAACACAAGGGATGGCCATGATCTGTGGCACAGAAAACCACATGGACATGCAGATTTGGAAGAAGAGTGCCCAAGCCTCCTCCGGCAAGCTATTAGCCACAAGAGCTGCGGTATGTTGCTCCTCTTCTTTCGTCAACGGCATGGCCATGTCAAAGTTCATCTCCATTTCCTCCATAGGCTGGGTCTCATCCCAGTCAGACGCAGCAGAGATTCCTGCGAAAGGCAGAGGTAGCAGCTCTGGTGCAACACATTGGCCATAGAATAGTTGACAAACATGTTGGTAAAAAATCATTCCTTCAAAAAAAGCGATGCCCATACTCAGCGCATTTGATTTCAACAAATAGCGGTTTGAATTATGCAGCATCATCCGGGTGGACTGCAGGTCCATCTGAAGTTGGAAAAAATATGAAATGACAAGTCATATGGTTCCGTGTTCTTACAGGGAACAATCATGGTACAACTGCATTGGTCAGTTCGAGGTCTTACCCCACCACAATGGCCTTTCTTCATTTTGCCTTTCGGCTTCGGGGATGACTTTGGAGACGGTTCGTTCGAATCCGGTGGGCCACCAATAGGCGGAAGGTTCCTCAACAGAACATGGGTTCGCGACAAATACAACAGGGATCAGAGGTCCAGCATTCACATATAGGGGTATAGAAAAATATATTTTTTTTCATATGGTCATTTGTCGTTACTAACCTGTTTTGATCCTTGTGGATATATGCTTCATGGAGTATCCCCACATAGTTGCCACTATATTCCTGAAACATGCCACTCCTATATCAAACATGTGTCACAACCAGCCCGGCGCCAACCAAACTAAGAAGAGTGGCTGCTCAGCACCACGTTGGGCAGCAGCTGCCTTGGCCTCGAGTTCGGCCTTCTTCTTGGCGATCATCTCCATCAGTTGCTTCTTCTTTTCGACGAGATTCGCGCCTTGGCAAAAATGACGGCAAGTGCGGAAAGAAATTGTTTTTTTTTGGGGGGGGAGGCATATACATATAGGGGGTTATACTAAGTGAAACCTTACAAACTTATTCGTTGGAATTCAACAAGTAAAAAAAACAATAACCATACTGAGCTTCAACGGCATGGTGACCAACCACATGACTGACACCTGGGTGGGTCTTTGGGAACCACTGACTCCGGGGCATTCTCATCCAACCATCTATGGAACTCCGCAAGTTCGGACTTGGATTGCTCATCATCGTCACATGGGTCTTCATCATCATCAAAGTCCATGCACTCACTTGACGTAGACCGTTTGCACGATGCCATGTACTGGTCAATGACTTCCTACCAGTGTTACTTAGCCATCATGTCCCCAACATAAAGTTTAAAAATCAAGACGTTGTGTTCCATTCATGTTTTATTTGGACCCACCAGTTTGCTACCCCCATTAAGAATCAACCCTTGGTGTGAAAACAAGATGAACAAGCCGGCAGATGATCCTGTCCTTCATGCCTGGGTCAAACTCCAAAATCAGCTCATGGAATTTTGGGTCCTGGCAGGGATGCTATGAAGGAACAATAATAAACACGTGGCCATTGTATTCATAAATATATTCAGCTCCATTGTATTTGACGTGGCCTTGTATTCAGCATGATTCGATTTATCTTGAACTTGGCAATATGACATAACATTAATATATATGGATTGGGTGGCAAATTTGAATACATGTTTTAAACTTAAGGACACCTTATAACATTGTTTGCTCATCCCCAACCCCGTTCCTTCGTGACCTCTTTCCTGTTCGATCGGCGCTTCACGAACCCAGCTAACTGCTTTAGTTCCATCGTGCACTTGTAGATTCCTTTTTCTGCCATTGAGGTAATGCCACATTTTTCATGTATTGTTTCTACCTCTGCCTTGAATGCTTCCAGGTGTGGCAAGCGATGTTTTTTATCTTGCCCCAATCTCTTCAGAACGGGTTTCAAAACATCAGCATTGGAAATGCAATTCGGGCGGTTCGATTTGCAGAAACTTTCCTCAGGAGGATGGGTCAGCAACCTTCGCTCACCACGTAGGCGATCTCGAATTTGGGCATTGCTCTCCCACACTTTAGCTAACCCCACGCAGTTCATGGCTTGGGCTAGCCAAAAAAAGCTCGAAGCCAAATGTTCTGATAATGTTTGGGTATAGATCATCAAATAACATAATAAGTACTGCTAACAGACCATGCAGTGGCAAGCTGCCTGAACCAAGGAAACTAACTTCAATGGCTACGCAGACAATGCATTGCCAGATCCAACCCAGCCGGAAAAAATGGGGGCCCGGGCAGTGTGGTCCATGACCATGAAGACCATCAGGATCATCACATGGGCAGAAGGTGGCTAATGAAAGCCTTG